CGCAGAGCCTGATGCAGGGCTCAAACTCTCCAACCGTGAGATCATGACCTGAGCTGAAGTTGGACGCTTCACTGACTGAGCCACCCAGGTGCCCCAAGAATGAATGTTTTCTGAGCAGCCAATGACTTTCTTTATCACTCCCATATCCACGCCACGTTTATTTAATTGATAAAGTCAAAAATGCAAAGCTGGCAGCATAAACCTTGTGCTCTTGACCAGTTGCTAGAAGGTGGTGAGGGAGAATTGCTACCGTACATCGTGTAGGCCAATCTTAAACAAGCTTCTTTGGATCCTTGCCTGCGTTCTTGGCTTTATTAAATGAATATGTATGAGCCTATCAAAGCAGAACCTTCCCGAAAAGTATTCAAGCTTTTCCGAGTGGCTGAATCTGCACTTTCCAGGAAGAAAGTAGGATCTAATAGGGACCCAATGCTACGCTTTATAACTAGAAATTTTATAACTACTCAGTCTTTGTAACTAAGAATTCATCATAAGTCAGCCTCCCCTTGTCTGGCCAGCTCGTGTCCGCGTCTCCAACATCCCCCGCCCCCCACCCCCATTCAGGACCACTCCTGTCGCAACACACTGCAATAACTTCACATGTCCGGGGTCTCCATTCGACTCCAGTCTACTTAGATTTTTTTTTTTTNAATGATATATAAACAGAATTTTCCCTGGTACCATTCTTCTATACAGACCACAGTGGGAGAGTCTCCAGTTGGAAACTACCATCACGTAAGTATTACATTAAATTTTTTTTATTATTTGTTTTTAAATTTTTTAAAAATATTTTTATTTATTTCTAGGAGAGAGAGAGAGACAGCGTGAGCAGGGGAGGGTCAGAGAGAGAGGGAGATACAGATTCTGAAATAGGCTCCAGGCTCTGAGCCGACAGTCAGCACAGAGCCCGACGCGGGGCTCGAACCCACGAACCGCGAGATCATGACCTAAGCAAAAGTCGGACGCTTAACCGACTAAGCAACCCAGGCGCCCCCAGTCTACTTAGGAAAGGACCATTTTTTGCCCATTTTTGGTCTTCAGCCTGGCGAAGCATCTGACTCGCCGGAAGTAAATGCCTGTACCCCAAAGAGCAGTGCTGGCTCTGAGGAGAGAGCTGCGCCTGGAATACTGGGGTGGCCGTGTGCCCCTGAGCACCTCCCCTTCAACAAAATGAGAAAATTAACAACATCTGCCTCACAGGACGAGCCGAAAAGTGGGGTATAAATGTAAAGTGAGGAAAGTGCTATCTCTTTAAATTTTTCGTTAATTCTAAGATGCACATTTTCTCCTGTTTAAACGTCTCTAAAACTGAGGTCCATTTTTGCAAGGGACTAACCATGCATGGCCCCCTCAAATCCATATGTTGAACCCTAATACCCAAGGTGATGGTATGAGAACATGGGACCCTTGGAAGGTGCTTGGGCCGTGAGGGTTGAGCCTTCATGAATGAGATCAGTGCTCTTATAAAAGAGCCCCCACAAAGTCACCCCCCCCCCCACTTCTACCATGTGAGGTCCCAGCTCTAAGGTACTGTCTGTGAACCAGAAAGCAGGCCTGCACCAGACTCCAGATCTGCAGGCCCTTCCATCTCCGGCTTCTCAGCCTCTAAAACTGCGAGAAATAAATTTTTGTTGTTTGTAAGCCACCCAGCCGAGGGTATTTTGTTATAGCAGCCAAGCAGACTGAGACAGTCCTGCTTTCCATGCATAAATATGCACCATACCTTAATCGATGGTAGTTTTTTCCTTATGTTCAACGTACCATATTTTAGAGCTGCAAAAGATAATGGCGACTCTTACACACAAAGGTGGCTCAGAGTCAACAAAATGTGATACTGTTAATATCCGCGCAGTACTCTGCCTCTCACAAATGCCCCCAAACCGGCCTCAGAATCCACCATTCTGTTTGTCAACCTCAGGAGGGTCCCTCCACATCTTTCACAGCATTCTGGATGCCTTTAATTACTCCCTATCTATCTCACATTTTCTTTTCTTTAAGACGGTCCTGGTTTCTTTTCCTTTTCTTTTCTTTTTCTTTTGAGAGAGAGAGAGGGAGAGGGGCATGAGCAGGGGAGAGGGGCAGAGGGAGAGAGGGAGAGAATCCCAAGCAATCTCCATGCTTGGCATGGGGCCCAATGTGAGGTTCAAGCCCACAACTCTGGGATCATGATCTGAGCTGAAATCAAGAGTTGTACACTCAACTGACTGAGCCACCCAGGCACCATCTTATATTTTATTTGTATCCAAATGCTTTGGGAAATTATTTGTATTTTCATTTCCACGTATTATACTAGTTGCAGTATTTAGCATAGCACTTAATGTGACTTGTCTTTATTTTCCATTACCATCTCACCACCAGCAGCAAGCTTTAAGTAATGGGAAGAACTCTGTAATGTTTTGGAAAGAATAATTTTAGTTCTAGTCCCCTTTTGTCACTAATTAGCTACATGTCTAATCTCTGTCATCTGCTAAATGGGGGTGCCAATATTTTCCTCACAGTTATGCAAGGTTGCATGAGATCACATATGTGGATGTCCTTTAAAATTACTGCACTCCGGAATCTGATGAACAGAAAGACCTCTGTTCCCCTCTGTAATTTTACCAATCTTGGACAGCTTCCAAAGACAACATTTCAGAAGAAAGGATGACTTTTAAGGTGCATTTGATGACTTCCTATATTCACCCACATGATCCCTGGGATAATTCCCGCTCTCCAAACATCGACAAGACACAGAAAACAAAGTGACAGATTGTTACATTTGACTGCACCCAGTCTGCAAGAAGTATGTGGACTCGAATGCTCTAAATGTCAGGGTCCCCAACTTTGCCTCATCCTGAAGGAACTGTTTCCTTTGCTTGGGCCTGTTCTGGGAGCCTTATCTTGATGTTTGCAAGATAGTGCAAGCTTTAACTTGAGACTGAATTTTTTTTTCAATGTTACTTACCAGAGACAAGCTCTCTTTTATATTTGACATTAAAGTAGTAATCATTGACTTGTGGTTTTCTTCGTCTTCTTCTTTTTAATATTATGCCTGCCTCTACTTTGCACACTATTAAAACCAAGTTTATCTTTTACTTGGTTGTAGGCTCTAATTATGAAGTGGGAGCGGCAGGGGACATTAGGACACTAGTAGATATTAGTGTGTACTTTGTGCTCAGATTACAAACATCCCCTCATTTCTGTAGACATCGCACAGTAATCTGAAAAGTTGTAGCATTCTGTTTGAGATGAGAACACTGAGGTGATCGATCTGAAATCACAGAATCAGAACTGGCCCTAAACCTCCTGAGCACAGACCCCCGAACTTCCTGGCTTTGGTTTCTGGTTTTGGTTTTGTCTAGGTATAAGGAAAATGGCAGTGGCGAAAAAAAGGTATTCGAGCAGACATTTGACATTATGTTTAATTCTTCTAAACCCGAGGTGATCTTCCACTGTCTGTGTCACTTCATTTCATGTTTTATTCCTGAAAATGAACTTAGTGGATCATTTTCTTTTATTTTTTTTCTGGAACAATTCCAGATTCTTATGGCATTACAGAATAAGTCTCCAGCTAAAGGCATTCCATAATGAGACAGCCTTAGGGAAGAGGCAGGGGATAACTTACATGAATGAGGTAGTACAAAGCTGCTAATAAAACCTACAACACAGGTAAAAGGCAGAGGGTGTAATTTGCTGACAAAGTTATTTAGTACCAACCACCAAGAACTGAAAATATAAAGGATTTTAAAAGTGTGTATTATTTGCTTAAATTGCAAAACTGAGACTTATCCAAAGAGTGAAACAAAAATGAATTTCCAACCTTGAGATTTATTTGTATAAATAATGAAAAAAAAGAAAAGAAAAAGAAAGAAAGAATTTCTTTTTGACTTTAGGGTTCCTTAGAGTTCATAAAATATAGTTCTTATTACGTATGAGATGTTTTTCACTTCACAACTTTTTGTTTTGTATTATCTTACTACTGTTAAAATGAAGGATTTTTAAAACTTTTGTTTACTTGTTTCTCTAAAGAGTAAAGAAAAGTCCTCTATAAAAAGTCTTTGTATGAGAAAGGAAAAAAATAGACTCTGAAATTCATTAGAAATCGTGGGTTCACAGATATAGAAAGCTTTATATTCTTGGTTATATTCCTTTACATTCCTGGTTTGTCACCAAAACCATACTGGTTTAAATGATTTAAGAATATAAAATAAAATGAAACTTCCATGATAATTTTTGCTTAACAAAAAGAGTGGGGTGAAGAAAATGCAATAAATTTGGAGAGAAAGGGGGAAGGAAATGGATGGGATGTTAGACAAGCGCTTTATTAAAGCAGGAGTTATTGCTAGAATCTCATCAATCAGGGTTCCTTTGGGGGAAATCGGCTTTAACAGAAAGCAGAGCAGTTTATTTTGCAATCCTTTCTTTAACATTCATCAATTGCCTCTTGAGTGAAGCAAAGTGGTATTTCCTTGGGGGCAGGAAAGTCTCCTCTAAAATATAGCAAAAAGAAAGGATGCCGCTTTGGTTTTATCTCCTAGTTTCTAAGGGGTCTCTGTGGTCCTCGGGGACTGGTTTCGCGCGGTTGGGGGGGGGTGCACTACAATCTGAGTTGTCCTGGGAGAAGTCAGGGTGACCCGCTCACACTGTGCCGCTGAGACCCGTTTGCGCGCACCAAGCGCTATTCGTCTCCGGGCTTGTTAGCGAAATTGCCCACGCATGAACGTGACCCCAGGTGTTTAGGACTCAGAGTCCGGAGGCAGGAAACGTGGCCGCCCGGGCCGAGCCGCAGGCGGATCCGACGCTCCCCGGGGTGCCGGGATCCCCGAGCACCTGCCGTTCCGCTCCCTCCCCGGGGCGCTCCCGCGGGCGCGGGACGGGGGCGGCGCGCGGGCTCGCGGCGGGCAGGGCGGCGGTGGCCGGGCGCCCTCCCCACCTGGGACGGGGCAGCCGCAGCAGCCGCCCGCGCCCGGCCGGGCCCGGCGCGCCGCCAGGGCTGGGGAGGGGCGGCGCCGAGGGCGGGGGCCCGGCGCGGGGCAGGGCAGGGCCGCGCCGGGCTGCGCGTCGCGGGGCCGCTGGGGCTGCTCCGGGCCGCTGCTCTCCGAGGAGCCGACCGCCGGCTCCGAGAGTCCGCGGCGTTGGCAGGCGTCGCCGGAGCGCCGGCCATGAGGACCCTGTGGATGGCGCTGTGCGCGCTGGCGCGGCTGTGGCCGGGGACCCTGGCAGGCTGCGCCGAGGCGGGGCGCTGCTGCCCGGGCCGGGATGCCGCCTGCTTCGTGCGCGGCTGGAGGTTGGACAGGGTTTACGGGACGTGCTTCTGCGACCAAGCCTGCCGTCTCACGGGGGACTGCTGCTTCGACTACGCCAGGGCGTGCCCAGGTGGGTGGCGGGGCCGGGGGGCGGGGGGGGGGGCGCGCCGGCCCTTCGCCAGCAGCCGAGGGGCGCGGGGTCCCACGGCAAGGACCGCAGCCCCAGAGCAGAGATCCCCCAGCCATGTCCATCCTGGCGTGTCCAGACCGTCCAGCCTGGCCTGCCCCTTACCCCCGCCCCCCACCTCCCCGCAGGTGCATCTAGCCCCCTCCATCCTAGGGTCCTCCAGCCCCTTCCATTCAGGTACACCTGCGTCCAGGGCTCTCGCGGGCCTCCCGGTGTGGCCGGACCACTCCAAAGCACCTCTCCCCACCGGAACCTGGATGGAAGGGGCTGGAGCCGTCTGTTCTCCGGGAAGCTTGTGGGGCTCAGGAGCCCCGGCCTGGCGGGGCCACCTCCTACCTGGACAGATGGCGTGCCAGGTTCCGGGGGCACGTCCCGGGCCAGGCTCCACCACTTTCACCCTGTTAACCCTCAGGGATCCGAGGCGACAAGTGAGAAGTGAGAAGGGAAGGGATGAGTAATTCTCCCACTTGGAGCCAAGGGCTTGCTCTGGTAGAGAACTTGTGCAGAGGAAGTTCTTGGAGGGGCCCACAGTTGTCCTCACTTCTGGACTCCAGCTCGTAGCACAGCCCCTTTCTTGTAAGAGGGGTTTGATCTGCTCTTTGCATTCAATTTTCTCTAGTTAGCATGATAAAGGTTTTCCTCTGGGGGGGGGTGTCCTATTGTATTTTAATCCTGCTGCTTTTCCTGGAGGGTCAGTCTTTTTCATCTTTAAATTTTCCACAGTAGCACAGTCCCTGGTAAGGGCTCAATAGATGTTGCTTTAATTCGGTTAAAAGATGAAGAAATGGTGAGTATGGTTCTAAAGAACAAGGTTTACCCAAGAGAAGCCAGCTCTAGAAAGAGAAGTGACCTTGCTTCCTGTGAATCTCATCACCCAAAATGCCTCCTGTACGTTAGGGTTTGACCCCAAGGATTCCCACGTTGTGACATCCTCGGTATCGTCCTGGGAGAGTAACGTGCGGGTCTGCGTCATTGTTCGGGGAACCGGATGCCGGGTAGGGAGGAGCACACTGTTGCCTCTGCGATGCTGGAGGAAGCCACCAGCCCGTGACGAGATATCACCCAGACCCGGGCCTGAAAGAGCACGATTGAAAAACATTAAGATTTTCCTGACCCTGCTTGAAAGCTAATGATTTACTTGTGAATATTGATTCTCTTTTTGATAAGCTTCTTGCCTTTTCGGCTCCAAGGCCACGGTGTTCTGCTACTGAAGTAAGGTGGAGAGTCAGTTATTTAGGAAATGCAGTGCCCAGGGTCCCCAGCCCCTCCCCCGCCCTGGCAGAGCTTCCTACTTAAACTCCCATTTGCCTCGGTTTCCTAGATTCCTCAAGCAAAGCCTCTTTCATGATGGCAGAATCACTTTCTCACAAGTGATTCACTTAGATTTTGAATACAGAATTCCTGAAGACCAGATAACGTGGCCCAGTCTGTGCTAAGCACAGGGATACACAGATGAAGACACAGTCTCTGCTCCCTACAAGTTCACAGTCAAGCAGGGAAATACACCTGCGAACCACCTGTAACATGCTGAGTGCCAAAATAAGGGATCCAGGAGGCTCCAAAGAAAAAACTCAGAAGACCCAGGAATTCAAGGAAGACCTCCCAGAGGAAGTAATGTACCAGCATGGTTCTGGCGAATGAGCAAGAAGTCTCTAGAAAGGGAAGGAGAATTCTAGCAGGAAAGCATCACATGGTCATTCCGCAGTTACCTGTGGGTGTCTGCTTTTTGTGCCGGGAACTAGGCGAGGCCCTGGGGCGGCCCTGGTGAGCAGGACACTGTGAACACAGCTAGGTATGGAGAGATTCAGGCACAGAAGAGGCGTGGGGACCAGAGTCCTGAGAAGAATTTTCCAGCGAGGCCTAAGAGTGCTATGAGGCGTTGTCTGTATGTGGCCAAAATGAATCCCTTACTTTCAGCCCAGAAGGTAGAAATATTACAACCAAGAGTCTGTGATTTGGGAGTGGGGCTATATTGGGTAAGTAGGAGCAGAGGAGAGAGAACTTACCATCTCGGGAAGGGCTCAGACACAAATCACAGCAGCTCCGTGCTCGGGCAAGAGCTGTGAGCAGTGGGCATGGGAACCGAAAGCAGAGAAGGAACGGAGCCCAAAAGAATTTTGAAAGGAGCATATTCAGCCTTATGCCCTTCCCCAGGGAAGTTAGCAGAGGACCTCGCAGGCCTGAGCAGAAGCAGACGCAGGACCTAAAAGGCTCCTAGTTGGTAAATTCTCTGCGCTGAAGTTTCTTGGGAGAAGAGGAAGAAAATAGAGACAGTTGGAAGTGGGCCAGTTGGAAGACTGAGCCTGCTCTCTCTGCAGAGCAGAGGGTGAGAGGGGGCACCGCAGAGCCCAGATGCTCAGTCGCCTTAGCCCCGGACCCGCGTCCTAACTGTGCTGGCTCTCGGGGCCTGGGGGAGCTGCTTACAGGTGCGCGAGCTGGGGCCTCACAGGGCTCTCCCATCACTACGTGGACATGAATGGGCAGCACAGTGACATCCAAACCCACGGCTGCCGGATTTCGGGCTGCCAGCTGCCACATCTGTTGTGCATGGCTGTTCCTTACTCCTAAATACGTCAGGGTGTGGCAGCTCAGGGCCCCCCAGTCACTCCACGTGCATAGAACCATTGCGTCCCTTAGAATCTCTTCTCCTCCCCCCATGCGATGTCACCTGCTGATGCTGTCTGAAACCTCTTTGACTGAAATTACATGATATGTGAACCAAAAATGGAGACGTGTTCGTAGAACTGAGAATGCCTTACTTCTCTTCCTTCTGATTTTTTTTTCTTCTTTGTAAACACTTTTATTTTTGGTGTGGCTAAGAGATGAAATCCTGGCATTTCTCTTTCTAAATAGGAAGGTTTTTTTTTCAGTTAGTAAAAATAAGTTATTGGGTTTATGGATTTACTGAACTGCCAGAAATATCTGTTCTGAAACAAATTATCTCAGAAAAATCTCGTTGTGATGACAGCATAGGTTTCCACTCCAATTCTATATCTCCGTTATCCCCCCGCCCCCCAAAAAAGAATAGAAAAATTGGCTGTGACTGATCAGGGGTGAGGAGAGGTAAGAGGGGACAGATCCCAGTGACCCTGCCCTGTAAGAACTTCTCACATATCAGGCTCAGATCTAGATCTCACATATCTAGACCCTGTGGTCCTAGAGTCTGCATTCCAAGATCAAGGAAACAGTAGGCTGCACTCGATTTTTGAGGAGCAAATTCAGGAAAGAGTCATTATTAACCCGAGTAGAGCAAGACAAAAATTGAGTAGCCTGCGTGAGCCAGTCTCTTCTCCTGGACTTATGGGGAATCTAGGAAACTAACTGGCCCATATCTGCTGACCTCATAACTGGAAGAAGGGTCAATGCCCTTGAAAATATGGGCTCCACAACTTACCCAAGGGAACGATGTCCCAGTCTACGGAAATTTAGAAAGTCGAAGCTTTACTGGAACTGTAGCGGCCCAAGAGACAGCGTGTGGCTTCCCCTGCCTTTGTCTCTGCAGGAAAAATGAGCAGAGCCTGGCCCCGGCATTCAACATGACTTGACTTTGCAGGCTTGGGCTGCAGCCCTGGGTGTTCAGGGGAGGAGGGTAAAGTTGTCCGCCCTTCTTCAGCCTTTACGCTGTGCCAGGCACCTCACAGCTCTGCTCTTACTCAGCTCCCACAGCCCACCGCCATGGTAAGCAGAGCCCTGGGAGGTTGGGCAGTTTATCCTAAGGCACATGGCCAGTAAGTGATGGAGTGAGATCTGAACCCAGGAACTCCGAGTCCGGAGCCCACACGTTTAAAAATTATGTCTGGACCCTCAGAGAAATGAGGCTTTATGAGAAGCTGTGTACTTTGCAGGGTAGGCCCCGGGTAAATACTAGTGGAGTGAGTGAGCCTTCTCTCTCCTTCGACTCCTACTCCTCAAGGGCAAACAGTGGGTTCTGCGCCTCTTTACAGTCCCCTGACGTCCATCGTGGTTGTCAGAACTCGAGCCGTCATGCCGCTGAGGGGCTGTTATCTATCCCAGCCACCTGGCCTGTCAGAAATAACATCTTCCTTCCCCGACTGCAAAATATGCTTGTTGCAGAAAATTTGGAAAATACTGAAACACAAAAGAAGAAAACAACTCACCTGGAAACTTCCTACCCAGTAAAAGCATAATTATCTTTCTGATCTGTATGCCCTTTCTTTTCCTGGGTTTATAGGCTGTATAACATTCTGTTTTTCTTTTTAAAAAGAATTTTTAAGTTTATTTATTTTGAGAGACAGAATAGAGGAGGGGCAGAAAGAGAGGGAGAGAGAGAATCCCATGCAGGCTCCGTGCTGTCAGTGGGGAGCCTGATGTGGGGCTCAAACTCACAAAGCGTGAGGTCATGACCTGAGCTGAAACCAAGAGTTGGATGCTGAACTGACTGAGCCACCCAGGTGCCCCTAAAATTCTGTTTTTCTAATGAGGCAGTCCTTTTTATTGTCTCGCTAGCATTTCAGGAATTTGTCCAGTTAATGTCTCAGAAGAAAGAAAAGACCCACTGGCGGCCAGGTAACATGGTTTCTGTGAGATGAAAAAAAAAACAAACTTGTATCATTTTGTTGGAGCTTTCTGGTGGGGGGTAAAGAGCAATGTGGTCTCATTCGAACTTCACGGAAGGTTTGACAAGATTTCTCAGAAAAAGGTATACATAGGAGAAAGAAAAAGGCCTATGACATTCAAAATTATGTCACTATGAGATATGTGTGTGTGTGTGTGTGTGTTAAAGGGACTGCTGTATTTTTCTCCCACACAACGTCAGGAAACAAATGCTATGCGTTAATGGTACTGCTGTGGGTACGAAAGAATATTTCGGGGGCGCCTGGGTGGCTCAGTTGTTTAAGCGTCCAACTTCAGCTCAGGTCCAGATCTCGCAGTCTGTGGGTTCGAGCCCTGTGCGGGGCCCTGTGCTGACAGCTCAGAGCCTG